ATTCAATAAACCTATATTCATCGTCTTCGTCGTCTACATCTGACACATATATTTTTAGAAACTGCGTTTCGATTTATTTGTTGTTGGTTTTCAAAATGTCAATGAAATCATTCTGTGAGGAATGTGAGGAAATTGTCACAAATCCGTTGTTAACGAATTCCAAATTCCATACTCGAAGTGTCTGAGTGTGTGCAAATTGGTGCAATTGTTATGATCCACCTCCGAACACCGCGTCAAAGCAGCCCAATGAAGAAAGTTAATAGCGTATGTAGGATGAAAAATGATTATGAAAATAAAAAATATGAAAAGATCGCACCTTAGTCGGCAAGAGAAAGTAAGAATAATAAATTTGTTTGCGCATTTCGTCGACATGTGCTATGGATACGTAGCTGACTTGGCCCAATGGAAGCGTCAATAACGGCTTTTTGTGTGAATGTGATCATTCGGGGCAGACAGAAAAAAAGAAATGGCAACAGAACTGACACAGTGTTCCGCACATGGAAATTCAATAGATTTCGAAACAATTGATATTCTTACGCAATCCTCGAAATTATGGAAAAACCACTGAAAATAATTCATGTTTTTTTTGCTCTGCAAATTCAAGCCTATTGTGAGTTAATTTAACAGTGATTACGCCATTTCGTCAACCAAGTTAGACGATGACAAAAATGTGTACAAAGAAATTCATTCAATGCAAATAGATTTAATTACTGTTGAGTACCGGGTGCGTTGTTTGCCTATGCCTATGCCTTACGATGATGTTTTGGTTTTTTTATGTGATTTTAAATGCGTTTTTGCACGATTCCATGACGCCTGCGATCAAAATTGTTTGATACAGTTTTGTTATGAAAGACAAAACAAAAGTAGAAATCCGTTCATGGATCGTTACTCGTCGCATCACAAAAACAAACATGATATGATTGAGTTGCGAAAAAAACAGACCAAACAACGACAAACGCAAAAAGGAAAATTTCCAGAAAAAAAAAATCAAATCGGATTTTTGTTCCATTTGCAACTGATCGTAGCTTGTACACACCATGAAAGCGCGGTATACATTTCGTACGGAGTGTGAGTTGTTTTTTACTACTTCTTCGTCTCCGTTGACTTGCTGTTGCTTTTCTTCTTTCACCATCACCATTCCGGATATGCTTTCGCTGTTTTCGTTGTGTACCCACTTCGTTCGCAAATTTAGACATCGAACATTGTAAAAGCGGACTGCTTCTTTTTCTTACTTTTTTTTCATTGCGAATTTGAATGATGGACAAAAGAAAAGCGTTTGAATAGAAAAACGTATGTGCTGAGAGGCGATTTCGTGCTTTAAGCAACGTGCTCGCCGATCAAACCATTTAATTTGCTTAATTTAACCAAAATATTTGCACAACATTAGACATGCACACAAAAAAGAATGTGACCGATTAAAAGAATTAGTCGTTTTTCTGGTCGTTGTTGTCGCTTTTTTACCGTTGCTCATGTGTAAACATTGTTTTATAGCCATTATAGCATGCGATTGATGCACGAAAGTTTCACATTTTCGAATTTAGAATAAATCAAATGTTTAACAATCGAAAAGAAATCGAAGACTCTATGGATTCTCTCTCGCTTATTGCCACCTCGACCAAACAAAACGAGCGACAAAGGTGTTGAGTTGATATATGTGAAAATCGAGCGAATGAACAAAAAAAGATGAATTTCACGATGGAGCGTAGCAGGTAGAATTATACTCTCAAAAAACGCTTGTTCACATTTTGGTGAACACTCAATTCTTTTCTTTTAATTATTACTATGTTAAGCGTTTGCTGTTTAATTTTGTCGGATTTATGTTTTAGCTGTTGTTTTATTAAATGCACACGCAAGCATTCTTTTTTCGTCTCTCTTTTGCAGCGAAACACGATTCGAAGCAGCCAGTCTCACGGTCTATATAATCGAAGTGTTGAAGAGTGAAAGAATACAATGAATTTGCGAACGAACCAATGGAGAAAAAAACACTCACTGAAATTCTATGGCACAGTTGTAGGGAAGCGCATGAACAAAAACACACACACACACACACACACCGTACAAATGCAGTCAGTGAATTATAACGGCTCCAGTTGTACTTGCCAGATTAACAAGAGTGCAAAGAAAATAATTGCTGCTTCATAACCAATTTTGTTTTTTTGTTTGTTTTTTTGGGAGGAAAATCGCAATTTTCACGTCGTGCATTGTTCCCATTTCAATGGTTGTTAGACTTCCTGCGCTTGTTTCCGTCATCGTTTAGAGATCAAAAGTCAAAAAATATTCGTCCAATTTTCGACACTTTTCCCCGCTCGAAATTAAAAATCGAACAAATTTGCATTGCGTGAATTTTCCACATGAAATCACGTAGCCGCAGATGCTGTAACATATTTTCTGTGCACCTCATCCGAGATGCGCACAAAAATGGAAATGCATTCTGTTCTGATTCAGTTAGCCAGTCATTGCACAATTTTGTTGCTCTGAAAAACTCCATCTGACAGCGAAAATTAACACACAATGTTTTCAAACTGTACTTAACGCGGATGCAAACACTTTAGCATCGAGTGTAAATGTGTGGTTTTTTCTCTCTTCTAAAAATTCAAGCGAATTTACGGTCGATGTTTCTATGGCTGTCTTCTCTCTCTCTCTGTGTGTACTGTGCAAGTTTCAGTATACCAGAAATGTAATCATCTTCAATCTTTAAATTATATGCAAGTATTTAACACATATGAGAATGAAACTAGAAACAGAAAATGCGTTTAAACGTTCTACTGCTGACAAGCTCTTCGAAACTAGCATTGAACAACTATTCAAACGGCATTGTTTGTTCCGAACGCGCGTAAACAGTATTGTGGAATAAAGATTGAAGTTGCAGAAATGCTCTACTTTGTCAGAAAAAAAATGATAAAAATAATAACACCAACACAAACGATCGTACGTTGAATGGAAACTAAAATGTGTTATTACCAGATCAACAACTAGGCAGCTGCAATTTGGCTACAGCGAAAAAAAAAAATCTGCATAAATGACTAGAAATAAGAAAAATGCCTCGAGCTGTGCTAAAAATGTACCTAAATTGTATGGAAAATATTACATTATACTGATGAAATGAATAGAGAGATCTGTTTTAGTCTTGAATTCTCGTAAATTCTTGCAGAATAGAAGAGAGAGAGCGCGAGCGCAATAGTAACGGTGCAAACGCAAATAATATGCATAAAATGATTCAATAAATGCTGAAATCTGTACAAATAAACCACAAATAATCCATACGTATTTGCATGGGGAAAATTGCAAACGAGCGAGTGTGAGAGAGAAAAATGAAAGGTTCCATTGTGCGACGATTGAGAACATAAAGGAAACCGAATGTGCAATTTCGATGCAGTCAAACAGCAAGTGTTTTGTCATAAGCGATCATTGTTTGATTTCCGCATATTCTCATTTCATTCGCTTTTCATCGTCACCACCGCCGCCGCCATCACTGCGGTGCTTCAATTGATGCGATGAAATTTATATTTTTTCTCTTGCACTCGTGTACATTCTGCACTTTTTCCCCGTGACACACATCTAACTGAATCGACCGAATTTTTCCGCCAAGCATGAAATGCCATTTGGCGGAAATCACTTTCAATCTTCCAAGCGTAAACCGCGCGTTTAATTAACAGAGAAAAATGCTGCTTTATGATTATGATGAAATCCCAACCATTCCGTTGAACCGTCAAAAAGCTGCGGGTGGTTTTCTCCGAGCCAATTTAACAAAAACCAATTTTTTTTTCCTTAATTGTCGACACAGCGCATAGCATATGCTCTGTCATGCGTTTTTCTCTCTCTCACACACACATACATATTTCGTGTTCGATATGTAAGCATATTTCGTCTATTACTTAAATTAACAATAAATGAAATAGAGATCATGAAAGACTTGCGACCGATTTTGCACGGATTGTTGTTTTTCCGTTTCTACTGTTTGGCTCAATTCCATATTCCAACTGGGGCCTTTTTAAATTGGACACCAGCGATAGAATGAAAAATATATATAAATGTGGGGATCTGTCGAGCACAAGCGCACACTCGAATGAAATTGCATTTTAACTAATCACGTACGTTGATGGTTCAACGATGCCGGTGTTCGTTTATATTTTTGTTTCATGTATTTTAAGCTGGAAAATCGGCAGTATGCACAAATCCACGCGACTCACTTTGGAGCTGTGTGGCGTTGTTTCTATATTTATGTTGCAACGATTGAACACACATTCGGAAATGAGTGAATCGAAAATTGTGTTATCCGCTATATTGGTTGGTGCTTGTTCTAGGTGCCTGTATAACTGGTATTAACGACGTACGCAGCACAGATAGAGGAAAAAAGTAGGAAAAAACAAACGGCGAAGAAGAAGCAGAAGGAGAATCGTTTATTGATACGATGCGAGTTGCAACTAGTGGCGCACAATTTACGTGCAGTGCGATTGGCTCGTAAAACACTATTTGTTCTGTTTTCTATTCAACTAATCGATTTCTCGCCGAAGCATCGAACATTTATATTTCCATTGATGCGAGAGCTTGAGCGCGTATTCGCGCGCGGTGTCTACCTAATTAGTGTGGTACCTGTATGTGGTTCGATATATATATATATATATATGTTTCATTGTGCACTCATTCGTCTATCATATCATATGTGTGTTTTATGCACGCGATTCAAACCATTCAAATTGGGCTAGTTATTGAACATAATGTAATAACGCTATTCTTTCCCCCATTTTTTTTTTCCATTTGGCTCAGCGAAATTTAATGATTCACTCATTAGTCTTATCATAATAGAACGCTTCTTCGGCCCATTGATCAAAATTTTCACCGCAAAAAAACAACAACAACAACAACAGCAACTCAAAATGCAATTCTCATCAAGCGGATAACACTATAACACCGTAATCATAACCAGTCGTCGATGAAAAATCCAAACTCAAATCCATGCAATAATATTCGCAGTAAAATTATAACAATTGTATACGTACCGAAGTATTCTTATCGCAACAAAGTCCGAAAATGTTTATTTTTCTATTATTTGTTTAGTTTGTGTTTAATGAAATCCTTTGCACTGGAATTTTCATCAGTAATTCACGAATTTAATAAATCCACATAAAATGGCACACTAAAATGCAAGAAACAAGAGAAAGAGATAGAGATAGAGAAAAGAAAGACTTCACTGTAATTGTTTGTCGGTTGCGGTCGCAAAATAACTTAATCAACAATGAAAAAAAAAAAAACAAATAATCCATGGGTTAGATTCAGAAATCCATTCAGTCTCTTTTTTTAAATTCCTTCTTCTTCTTCTTCTTTTTTCTCGTTGTTCGTTTTTAATAATTTGTCACTTTTGGAATACAGTGACACCACACACTCACTTTAACGTTTTCGTACTCGTTTCGGTTCAAATTGATGATTGCTTTTCTTTTTCCGTGTGTACGTATGGAAAAAGAATGACAACCAAAAAAATTTCACGGGATCGCCACAGCTTCTAATTGAAATCAAAGCACTAAATTTATTCTCGATACTCGGTTGTGGTGGTTGTAGCACGGCTGGCAAACGGCACGTTGGGCGTCGAATAGTGAACGAATAAAAAAAAATCGTATAACTTTCCAAGAAAACCAAACGAATTGAATCAAGAAAAAGAAACACTCGAAAATTAACCAAACACTGATCGCAGCAGCAGTTTAATCCAAAGAAATCGCCGAAGCCGAATCACATGGACTGTGCAAAGGTTCATAAGAAAATGCGGTGTTTTTTCAGTTGTATCAAGATTTTATATCACGAGAAAGTTTGTGACCCCTTTCTCTACATTTCATGCCACAAACACAGACACAGCGCGGCTGACGCGAAGAAAACGCAACCGCAGCATAGACACAGCAATAGCAGCAACAGCAGCAGTAACAGCGACGACAGTGATTCGAGCCACAGGTAGATCGGTCTCTCTTGTTTACGTTGTTCATTTCAGCGTGTGTGCCCGTGTATATGTGCTTCGTTGTTCGCATTGCATTCTCTCTCCGAATGTGGCTCGTACAAGACGCAATAAACGCAACTCATCATAATCATACACAAACACCAAAGCATACAGTGTGTTGAGCACCAAATGCTCTATTTGATGGATTATATCCAAAAAGCAGTCATTCAAATTGAATGATTCAATGAGTTCCGGGATGACTCTACCAACACCCTGCCATTTTGATTGCAACAATCGATTTTGGTTGATGTCATTTTCACGCAATCTTTCATACGTACATTTGACGAAATCCGATGCACATACCGTGCAACGCCACATCATTCGAACGTGGTGTACTGAACGTTGTCGTTGTTTCTTCTTCTTCTTGATTTCTTTTCCATCGCTTTTAATTGTATCCGTGTTTGTTGTTTGATGATCTTTCCGCTTTATCCGGCATATTTCATGCGATGAGGCTTTTTTTTCGTGCTTATGATTTTTGTACGCAGCAATTTATCAGCAAAGAGAATTTAATTTATCGCTCAGAGTTTTGTGCACTGCAAAGCCGGTTTGGGAGCGAAATGACAACTTGAGAGAAAATGATGAAATGTGGAAAAACACGAAGAAATGAAAAATCCAATAACCTTAATTCATGGCGACATTTTACACAATACATAATATTTTCAGGCGGGTGATAAATTACAGATTAATTGATTGCTTCTCATGGCAACGCACACACGTTAACCAACTTGCAGTTAAACGAATGATGCTAGTCGAATGAAAGAAAAAATCGTTTAACAACACATTAAGACTGCCGAAGAAATCAATTTCCATAAATTATGCGCTGAAGTTTCCATGTTCTGTCGGTTTTGCTGAGAGAATCTCTTGTGCGCCACATTGATCAATCTCACCACAAAATATCTTATCATGTGATTTAGTTTTTTTTTTCTTTGCGTGTGGAAGCGCACACATTCCGGAGATATGTTAACATTCGAAATGTGAAATTCGTCCCAAATTCGACATCAATTTTTCTCCATGGTGACCTTGAGTAAAGCGCAAATTCGATATGTAAACTCGATGAAGATTACGCAAAATGGTGAAACAAACTTGTCCGCTTTGTGGTCGAATTGAGAACGGCGGTTACTCATCAAACGGTATCGGACATGTTATTTTGGCATGGAGATAATTTCACATATTTGGCCAATGACAACATCATGCATACCAAAGACTGAACAACAAAATAATAAATAACAAGTAGATGATTTCAAGCAGAATTCCCTCGCTCAAGATCTATGACATACATCGTTGACGCTTTTGAGTGGCACAAAAAATGACGCCAGACAAAAATCACTTTCTCCGCTTGCGACTTTTTGTTTTCTTGGAACACCGCAATTTCAAGTCACATATACGATATTAGTGTTTTGATTTCATTTAGCTGGTTGTTATTTTGTTGCATACGATTATGATCGGGTTCATGAAATTCGTTCACGAAAAAAAAAAGGTAATAAATTGGTTGGGATAAGTGTGTGTACACACAAAAAAAGTAAAGTTATTGTCATTGTTGAGTTACAAAAATGATATGTCAACGGTGTGAGCGACATACACGACGTAAGTTCACTTTCGTCGGAATTGTTTTCGTGCACGGCAGAATGGCGTAAAATTGAATATAAATGTCGTCTCGTATGTGATCGCGTTGCGACAAAAATGCTTTAGTTTTTTGTTGTTGCCATTTCTGACGATGGAATAAATATTTCAAAGGCCTGATATTATCGGATTTGACGAGAAAATGACAAGCACTTTCCTTGGTGATACATATATTGTCTTGATTCCGTTGACTGAACGCTCAAGCTTTCCATGCAATTGGCAAAATAAATGGATATGCAACCATCCATTCATATTCAAAAACGCATTTGAAATTTGATTCTGATTGTTTGCCGCCGAATATCACTTTCATTTCACATTTCATATGTGCCACGACAACGGTCGGCTCAAGAAATCAATCGCGCACGCGTTCAGCTTTTGCTAAACTATCTAAAATCTTTTTTACTGTTCACAAAGGGACGACACGTTTTGACGAAGTCTACGGCGAACTCATGAACTATCGAAAAGTCAATACAAAATGATACGAGAGTTCGTGGCGCTGCGAGCGCTCAAATGATGTTTGTACTGAAGTGTCGTCAGCTTGACTGTTCACGCATTCTGCAAATGAAGACATTATAATAAGGGCCAATTATTGTTTGTGTTTCGTTTTGATCGAAGAGGCGTATTTAACAAGCGATCGTTTAGCGATTGAACACGGGAAAACATCGAAATTAAAGATCGAAAAACGACGCAACAGCAAAACATTCTTTGCTGCAAAACATATTTGAACGCTTTCTTGACTTTGATTCCGTTGCTCTTTTCCCTATGATATTCGATCGTGTTGATTTCGACTTTGGAAATAGTGAAAACCAGTTTGAACGAGAAGAAAAACAACAAAGAATGAACGAATCAACGACAGCCCAGATAAATAGACAATAGCCGCATTTATTGACGAACAATCGAAAACGAACGCACAAACAAAAAAACACATTCCACTCAAGAGCTTTCAATTCATGATTTATGAACGCGATACAGTTTCGTTCGATAGGAAAAAGTATACGAAGTTTAGCGTAAAGTTGCTCCCACACGTTAAACAATTAGCCGTAAAGTTTCACTGGATTTTTTTTTTTGGGCAGCATGTTGAAGTATGCTTGAAAAAAAGAAATAGAAAGATCACGATTCGAGTAGAATGGATGAAGAAAAAATGCGTGCGTTCAAAAGTGATCTCATTGCATAAGTTTCCACGCAAACCCATCAGAAATGTGAACCTGTGTCGTGTTTCACTTGTAAACATTGAAAATAATTTGTTATTCACTACCTGCATTGCGGAGAGAGACGGATGAACATCAACTGCAATGTTTGCTTTTCCAAAAAATTGTTTACGGAAAAGCGAAACACACACACACAGATACATCATGTCTATTTACAAGTGAAAATGAAAACTAATTGACTTGCAAATCGGTGAAATGCTAAAAGGAATCACGTTATGTTGAGATAAAGAGAAACAAACAAATCAGGGCTCTTTTTAAATTTATAATTGCCTGTTGATGTTCGTATGCATCGTTTGCCAAACGGTTTTAAGTCAAATGAACATAAAACTTTGTTTCAGATAAACACAAAGAAGGGGAGAAAAAACAAATCATCAAAAATTCATTCGGCTAAAAACAGCCGCCGGGCATTATGGTTTATGGACTGTTTATTGCCACAGTTTTTCACCGACTCTCCGTTCGCTGGAAATTTGTTAATTATTTAGTAAAACGGTATTTTCATTTAACTGCACCAATTATTTCGCTTACCACCATCAAATGTGATTCAAATCTCTATTTTTTTTGGCGAAATTTCCACTATTCTGCATTGAATCGCTTTAGCTGCATTTAAAAAGTGAGCGTCATTTTATCGGGCTTCTTGTTTATACCAGCAGAACACAAACTTTCACTTTTTCGCCAGATTTTCGGCCGATAAATCATTCTAATTAATTGTTACAGTTATGAGACCACAATGTTTGGTCAAAACCATATACGCACAGAGATTTGTCATAGATTCGCACATAATTTGTCCAAAGAAACACCACACATGCAATGCGTTTAACATGTACTAAGTTGCGGTTTACGGCCTTTTCAGTACACGTCTGAATAAATAATTCATTTAATGTGCACGATTTAAATGCGAATACGCGTAATAAATTGAATTAACACTGGGTTTAGTCACCAAATTATATTGGTTACGTGATGCAAATTCAAATTAGACCTAAAGTAACCGCAGAAAGTGAAACAAAATGTTTGCACACACAAAAAAACGACTGTAGTACTTTCGAAAGTTCGATTAGATCACATTCTGCGCGCGGTGACACAATGAGTCATGCAAATCGGACACTGATCGCCGCAGTATAACGGTGAATCCCAAAAAGGAAGCTATTAAGAGGATCATTCCAAATACGGAGATAGCCTTTCGGAATCGACAAGCGTTTTGTTTTTCATTTAACTCACTTGTTGATCGAAGCCATGTTAAAAAGGAAGAAAGTGTCGGTGTTTGGTGAATTTCTTCATCATTCACTCTCTATGCCGTTAGATGCATACGGCCAATTGCAGTTGATCCCATTCCAACATGCAATTGACATCATGCAGAAATCGAAGCGGATCTAATGAAAATAATATTTTTGATGAGCTTGCGGCAATTGATTTCTTTCCTGTAATTTCCTCTAGGGCATATGATAAATTGTATCACGAGATCATGAAACCAAGTCACGGCCAACGATCACTTTTGAAGATAGAAAAAAAAGTGAAATGCGCCAAACAAAAACTGGAAACGAAATTAATATGTTCTCTCCATTAAACTGTCATTTATTCGAACAGATAAATTCTCGGTTTTCTGCTTTATTCAACATAGAATAGCGCGCGCGCACTCGCTGTGCAAACGCACACACGGCTCCTCATGAACATAAACTGATATGAATCGATTAAGATATATATCGAGTAAATCGCACAAAAAGAACATCGACACGCGTACAAACCGTGAATTTAATCGCATCTTAATATAATTTCCAAAGACCGTCTTTCCGTTTTATTTCATTTCACTTTGACCATCTGCACAGAGTATGAATGAAATGGCGTCGTTAGTTTCATTCATTTCTATTCATTTCATTTCATTTAATTTAATTTCATTTGTACATGTGAAGCACACATTTTAATCGGTTCAATAGCGATAATTTTTCTCTCTTTTCCATTTAAATGGATCGACTTTATGACGCACTAAACCAACAGATCGGCCATAGACTGGCAATATCGTAGAAAACGATGTTCAACTCCTTCAAGAACCATTAAACTTGTACTAATTTTCTATCAATAAAAATCATGAAGTAAAGCTCAAAACAAGCATTATCGACAAAAAAAACCGTTCAAAATTCATGGCTGTTGAACGAGTTAAGCTAATTGAGACGTCTGTGGAGAAAATGTTCTGGTTGGTTACATTTGTTGCGGTCATTAGATGAACCATTCACCGGTTGGAAACACTAATAAAATCAATTTTTCTTCTTGATACATACAATAGTAATTCTACTTGAACATTGTGACTACCAGTTTATGCTGAGATTTATCGGACTTTATGACAACTGATTAAAATCGATTTGCATTTAAATTTGAAATTCAATCAGGCTCAAAGTATTATTCTCAGCCAGTATTCCGAGAACAGTGTGTTTATAGTAACATCGAGAGAAATGAGCGTTACGACGAATATAATGGGCAATATTTAAGAAAAAATGTAATTTCCTTGCATCGAATCTAGTTCCGAACATTTTATGTTCTGGTCGAGTTGAATTCTAAATGAGATTTTAATTCTATTGTAGAACTTTTATAGCCAAAGCCTACACAAAGGGCATACTCTGTTTTTCAAGATTACGTTGGTTATTGCTGTCTGGCGACCAGTTGATGGGAACAAAGAAAACAGCATTTTACTGCATTCAGAAAGAAGTCAAGCTTAAATTCAGATGCCATTGTATCATTTCGGCTAGGGGGAAAAATCGTTTTTTTCATCTTTTATATACGCACGCATCAAGAAATAACTTAGAAATTCAATGGTATGCATGTAAATCCGAAATATCCATGTATATTCAACAATATTCATCGTGAACGACAAATGAATATTGAATATACATAGATATGCCAAATTTACGTGTATACGTATGAAAAATAAAAATAATAGTGAATCAATCCTTTAACCGTAAATTTGATTGATTTTGGTAGATAACGGTGAATATTGGAACATTTTTTGACATAACAGTCTAATGGATATTATCAAATATACATAGATATTTGAGATTGACGTGCATACCAGTAAATTTGTGCAGATTGTATCGTCAAAAAATGTTCCAATATTCATCGTTATCCACCAAAAACCTTCAAAAGTGGTTCAAATTTTCGGTTGAAGGTTTGATTCACTATTATTTTTATTTTTTCAGAGTTATTTGCGTTCTGCAAAATCGCGTGAAGCCCCTAGCATTTCGGCTAGTTGGCGTTCTCTGTGTTTGTGTCGTTCTGAAGAACTTTCATTTTTAAACACACGATGACCTAATTTTCTTCACATTTTTATTCCGTTTTTGAATCCAGTTAATTCGGTTCTATTCGATAGACTAAAAAGCATTTCCGTGAGCGTGGTGGCATAATCTGATTCAACGATTACTTAATCTGTCAAAAAGACGTCAACACGAACTCTTTGGCTCGGGTTTTTTTTCTATGTGCTACACACTTATATATTTCTTTGAATCGGCTAGATCCGGAACGGCAAACAAAAACAATGCAGCAAGTAGGTTCGTTGTTCGCGCGCGCATGGCTACATAGTCTTTCATGTATGCGTTTTGTGTGTGGCTGCTATAAAATAGGTCATTTGGTGGTGGCGTGATAGAGTTACGCGCCACAGTGGATGAATAGCTTACTTGTGACGACAGCAGAAAAGTGAAAACGAATTTTTGTTCATTTTTTTTTCTTCTTAATTTGTCTGCCAACAATCGGTGACTAATATCGTATTTTTTTACCATCAACAATCATTATAAACCTCTTGAACGACGTACAAAGCGAACATCGTGACGAAGTGCGATCGACAATTGCATAATATCGTAAAGTTCCAAATTAAATGCTTTCCTATACATATACGAATGAATGAATGCGCCAAACGTGACGTTACTTTAATTGAATTTCGCATGCACGTACAAATGATTCAGCCAGCTGCTTTCGGTTAGTGGCATTTCCAGATTGCGAAAAGAAAAATGCCAATATTTATTCAGCAGACAATTTTGAACGCCTATTGATATACACGATGTCACAGCGTTGAAGAATCACACGATGCAAACTTTCGTTGAAATATTCATTGTTGTATTTATTGAACGCTTCGAAGTAGTATCCATGCATGTACTTAACTTAGTTTGACGTCAATGAGATGTTATGTTCGACCAAAATCTGTATCTTGTCGAACAACCAAACGACCAACAAATCATGCTGACTGAGCACTTTAACGACTGCCTGCATGCCATAAATATCTCTTTCTCGGAAAACTTCCACTTATACACTCTTGCCACTAATTTCGGCAGCCGAGACACAAAATTGTTGTTTCTGATGCCTTCGTTTTGTTTGTTTCGTAGTGAAATACTCAAACGCTAACGATGTATATATATATGCATAGCAGTGGAATACGACACTATCGTCAACTGGAAAAGAATTAACGCTGATCGAGACACGTAAACTGACGTATACAGCAAAAGAAATAGAAAAATATAAATCACTTTCACCCAACGAAATATTGTTCATTCAATTTACCGAACAAGCAAAGAAAGAGAGTGAAAAAATGGAGTGAATTTTTGGTCACATGAAAAAAATTCACTTCTTTTTGTCATTCTCTTTGTTCGACTATTTCGTTTCCAATGGACAACTGAGTCACACATTTGATGGTGTAATTTTTTGCTAAATCAGTGTGTGTTTTCAGCAGTTTTTTTTTTTGAAATGAGATGCGTTTCGTTTTGTGTCCAAAAAAGGTGCAGTTTTCAGAAAAAAATCAAAACGAAATGATTCGCATACGTGAAAAAACGTTAAATATTCTCATGTAGCAAGGCGTGAACAAATATATTATTATGCGCCATTCAAAAGCAGTCTCGATCGAGTGAAAAGAATTGGACGAAATATTCAAGCTTCTGTTCACAAATTTGCATGGAATATATTGACCTCTTTTTGCTTTGTGCGGCTATCTATTGTCTTTCTCTCGCTATTCATCTCCCCGAAAGATGTACCATTTGCAACTTAGCAAACGTGAAACTGAATCACATCACAATTTATTTTAAATTAATTATCATAATTGATTGTACGTGTTACAGCGATAATATTGTAAATGATTCAAAAGACGTTCAGACTTCGTGTGTTTTGTTAATGGACACATCTATTGTTGTATTCACTAATGATTTGTAGAAAACCGACAAACATCTTAATCTCCACAATTTTCATCCAGATTCGAATAGAAATTAATTTTGCTGATTTAAATTGAAAACAATTTCCTCAATTGAAAGTCAGATCATTTTCGATATCTCATATAACAGTCGATGTAGATTATTGTTTCTTGTGATCGATTGTTCTTTCTTATCGCGGTGATAACCTCCGAAAAATAAATAAATGTGCAGAAAATCATTGAGTTACGTTAGGTTTGAGCTTGATTCATTTGAATACAAATATTCAAATTTTTTTAAATCAAATTCAATTACATCCACAACAAACTTACAACTTAATATTCGCTAAGCGATACAAAACGCACCATGAAGGAATAAAATGGTATTTCCTTGCCTATCAAAGTCAAGGTTAATACGGTTGAGAGTAGAGAAGATGTCGATTTCATCGGTTTTGTAACTAAAAAAGATAAATCTGAAATACACCATAAATCTTATCGACACCTTGTCTCATTCCACTACACATCGGTCAATATACATTCAATAAAAGTCATCATGATAATGTCATTTCGATTTTTTCTTTATTTTTGTTAAATCATAACATATACTTGAAGAAAACACAACAACAACTATTCATCTATTGAATGTCTCAATAATTTGCCATGTGTTTGTTTGTTGTCCTTTAACGTACAATTTTCATGAGGTGTTGCCATGCAATTTTTGTGTATAAAATATAAAGCACTTCTTTTCTAAAACATTCTTTAGACAATAGGATTGAATTGTATGTGAATGATATATTGCCACCTAGTTTGGTATGGTAATTTGTACACCTTCCGACTATCTATTGCAAAATGAGTTGTGCGAGTGTTGGGAAGTAGTTAACTTCTGGCATCGTTTATCGTTGTTGGAACTCGAACTTCAAGGCCATTCAGTTCTTTTGATAAAATTATTTGGCAGCCCAATCGTGATGTGTCTGTTAGTTCATAGGCCAGGTCCAACATGTCCAATTCTTCGTCGCCGGGTTTTTCTACAAGAGCAACCAATGTCATTACAAATTAATTGTAATTTTTTTTTTTCGTTTAATAAACAATTGTATTTAACGATCATAGACATTACCTGGTAATCGATCGTAATCGTCTTGTTTGAATATCAAATGGCACGTTGAGCAAGTGAGCGTTCCTTCACAGGCACCAAAGCCTTCCAAGTCAATACTATTATTAACAACCACATCAAGCAATGAATCACCAATTTTTCCAGTGCCCCTGACTTTGGTACCGTCAGCTTTTACGAAAAATACTTCAATTCTGTAACAGCAAAAAAAACGTATTTAGTCATTAATCCAAAAGTGCAATTTTATTGCAAGTACTCACTCATCTTTTTGTAGATTTGGTACATTTGTTGAAAAACTCTTGGCATGGCCCATAGCTCTAAATGATGGCATTTCACTAATTGCTGGGACCGCATTAATTACTTTTCTGAATGCAATTTCACCACATGTGCGTATGCTATGCGGTCTGGCTAATGTGTGTGCAGCAATAAAAAAAGTATTTCGTAACATTTTGATTGATAAACGATTTGTACAACAAGGAAGTAGGAAATGCACTCAACTGAAGAAAAATTCAACGTCGCAAAAACGAAAAGAAATAAACTTAGTTGCAGTAGTGAAAACAAAACTATTAAGGAGCTGTCAAAATTAATTTAGATGCCACACGATCACGTTTTGTGTTACTCCAAGACTCAGTCTTGATTATAATATTAAAATATTCAAATCATCGACCTGTATGTGATAGACTAATATTTTTCTTGAGTGCAGATACAGACACACGAGTGTATCGTTTGAGCGTGTTTATACGTCAAATGGGTCTAATCACACAGAGTGAAAGTTATGTCGAAATTACTTCTTTCGCATGCCGACAGAGTACCACTTCGCCATGGTAAAATCTTCAACGATAATGGATGCGTTTAATGGAATTTGAAAGACGATTTGAACGAAAAAAAATGTATTTGTAAAAATATGAAAAAGAGTCAAAAACGCAGAATAAACTCGAATAATTTACGATACGTTTTCTAAATGTGGAATTTAATAAGTTCTAGAAATGATGTAACAAAGTAGCTGTGACGAAAAAACCAACTAAAATTCACAGCGACAACAGTCAAAAGCACAAACGTCAAAGTCACCGCCTTTTTGTTTACATCAATAGAACATTCGTCTGGCTGAAAGTCGCAGAGCAAATAAAGTGGCTGCAAATAAAAATGCATATAACAAGTTATCAAACGAATTACTATTCGATTCCGGATATTTTGGTGACGCAGGAGAAAATTCCATGCATTGCCGAAGCATTGCTGCATGGAATTGGAACATTGGATCCAACATTTGATAAACCGAATATTTCGCGTGGTGAAAAGATTGAGCTTCCACTTTGGTATGCAATTCATCAAACCAGATTGTCACGTTCGCGAACACTAAACTTCCAAGTGCCGGACATTTACAAAAGTCGACTTAAGGAAATTTGCGAAGCCGATGCATTAGCCGTGGATTTGGGTCGAATGAACAAGTTTTTCTACACATTTGGTCAGTATGTGGTGCCGTTCGACAACAGTAATACACTCGCACAAATGCTTTACGAAACGTGTCGTGCACGATGCCGTTTGCTCATCGATTTAAGCAAAGACGCAGCCAGAGGTTTGAAAAATGCACAAAAATTCGAGCACATCGAATCGATATTGTATGCAATTGGATGTTCAACAACTGAAAAACATTTGAAATGGCTGAGTGGACGAGCCGAACTACTGCACACACCGCTCATGGTTTCCAATCATCAAAAACGACGACGAGCTCAACTCGACGATGGTTTCGATGAAAATCCACGACTCTCAAAAAGTCCGAGAATTTAACAAAATAAAAAACTAATATCATTTCATTTGCATTTAAGTATCAATTGATTTTTTTCTTCAAAATAAACGAATTCATCTCGTAGAAGTTTTTTTTTTTCATTGGTAGTATTTACCATGGTTGTGTTGATGAATACGCGCCAATTTTGTGTGAGTGAAATCGCCGAGCGTGGCGAATACGCATGACATTTGATTTGCTGTAATAGCCGGTAAACAAAAGACATATCAGACTTCGGAATGACATTTCATTTCCACCGCACGGAATACTGTTTATATAGAACGAATCCACAGCGTATTATCTGCATTTTAGTCTGAACCAGTGATAAGCTAACGATACGATCGCATTGTTGCTAGCAACGAACTAAGAAATTGTTGAACGTAATCGGAAAAAAATGCTGGCACAGCAGAAATTCCTTGTGTGCATTGCAATAAGTGCATGCATTATTTTCGGTGTTAATTGTTCCATTGAAGAAGAAGAACATGGTGTAGTTTACGCAAATAGATGTGAAGCCTGTAAAATTCTGGCCACTGAACTAACGGAACGACTGAAAGAAACCGGAAAGTCTCGCGAAATTATCGATCTTGGGTACTCATTCAATTTACTTTTAAATTTAATATTTTTTTTTATTGCAACCAAGTTTTTTATCACATTTTCATCCATAATACAAATTTATTTTGTAACAAAATTCACATTTCCTCTGGTAATATTCGTTTCCGTTCCTAGTTATCAAGTTGATGACGTAAAACCGAAGGAGCGTGTCGTGTACAAAAAGAGTGAATTGCGTCTTATCGAATCGTTGGAGGACATTTGCGATCGAGTTTTGCAGTACAATTTGCACAAAGAACGTAAAGGCAGCACACGTTTTGCCAAAGGCATGTCACAAACGTTCAAAACATTGCATGGTCTTGTCAACAAGGGAGTCAAAGTTGATTTAGGTATGCCCTATGAACTGTGGGACTCACCGCCAGCTGAAGTAAGCCGTCTGAAGACACAGTGTGAGACATTAGCTGAACAATACGAAAGCGATGTAGAAGATTGGTACTATCATGAAGAAGAGAAAGGTGTTCCACTCATCAAATACCTTTGTGAAGACATTATTCTAAAGGACGAGGATTCAACATGTCTCTACGAAACATTTGATGAAGAAGAAAGCAAAAAAGAAGAAGAAAACCAAAAAGGAAGCAAAGAGGAACTATAAATTACAATTGGACATTTTTAATTAGAAAAAAAAAACAAGTGATAAAATATATATTCAAACAAATGAGATTTTCCTATTCCACGCCTCTCGTTGTTTGTTAGAATGAATTTTAACAGTTGAACACATTGTACTTTTTCAGGTTTTCTGTGGAAAAATAATAATAATAGCAAATCATTAGTCAATTAAAATTTGTCACAATCTTCCATCCAAAGTTACCTATAATTGTTTGATAAGTAGTTTCCATGTCATTTTCCGTATTCAAATCATCCAATTGTTTTCTCGGAATCGATAATTCATAGCCGGGTCCGTAGCGAAGGAAATATTCATTATCTGGTAAATCGTTATCAAGCGGTTCCCTTGTTTTGCATATGATCGATGTTAATGTTGTCCAATATCGTGCCGCATTTTGAAAATTGTAACCACCTTTGATGCGTGGCGCAAAAGATAAATGATTTATCAATAAAGACTTGATTAAAACCGAAATCAAATATCATTTTATTAAAATAGTTAGTGCTTTCGCTTACCGCCGCCTAGGAATATAGTTGGTAGATCCCATGATAAAATTCGTTCAACACAAATGGCTAGATCTTCGGGCAATAAATTAGTACCGCCGAGTGGATCGCTGACAATCGAATCGGCTCCGCACTGTACGACACATGCATCAGGTTGATATTTGTTCAGTATTTCCGTAAGAGTTCTACGAATTAAACGAACAAAACAAATCGGTGGTTTTTATCAAGGTGGCTTCATTGAGCAGGTCTTTGATGGCATCGAGCACTTTTTTCAAGACAGCTGACGAGGTAAGGCGTGCTTATGATAAAATGAACAAATTGGCGGAAATGGTTCAACTAACTTGTAAAAATATTTAATGAATAATTCACCGCGAATGTGTGATTTATATGGGAAATTCACGCAATAGCCCTTGCCAATACCATGGCCGCAGTCATCCACATTGCCGGTGCCTGGGAAAAAACCCGGTTGAAATTGATGGAATGAAACCGTGAACACGCGTCTCGTGTAAGCAAAGGCATTTTCCACGCCATTTCCATGATGAACGTCTAAATCAATGTATAATATTCGCTGGAACCGAGTTCGTAACCGTTGAATGGCTATGGCAATGTCGTTGACATAACAAAATCCTTCTGCTTCATCTCTAGAATTGCAGAGCAATTTAATATGCAGGTTGCAATTCAATCCATGAAAATAGTTGAATCCATTTTAAAAATGTTACCTTTGTGCATGATGCCATCCTCCGCACCAATTTATCACTATCCGTCGATTGCTTAACAGCAAATTGGCAGCTGTCACAGATGCGCCAGCAATTACACGCACAAACTTCCATAAATTGAAAATCTTTGGACAATCGTATCCCAAACCATAATTCAACTGTTCGTCATCAACATCGGATGTGTCTGAATCCTCAGCATCATCATCATCATCTGAGCCAACACTTTCAAAACTTAATTCGGCAGTACATTCATTTTTGAGATAATCCAAATAATATTGTGAATGAAATAGGGATAAATTCTCATCGCTCGCCACATTCGGTTTGACACAATCCATCAGCCGGTGCAAATTATATGCTCGGATCAATTCATGTACCATCGAAGCCTGCCGGTTAAAAATACCAACGATTAAAATAACATTATAATTTTCTAAATTTTTTTTTTATAAATATAAGGTGAAGTTTTTCTTACACGCTTTTTCAACACCGGAATTTTGTCACATTGTTTGATCAATTCCTCACTAATAACGTACGCAACTCGTGGCATTGCATTGGCTTTGTTTTAAAGAATATTTTATATAAACAAAGACTCTTTGACTGTTTTATTCGAATTGTCGCCTGTCAACAAAACGCACTCAACGCACCGACCTCATAATCTACTACTTTTGTTATTATGACAGCTGAAATCGCACTACAGTGACAGTTACTCTCGACTTTGTTTTTGTTTACAAACTTTTTATATATGCGATAAACAAAAAACGGTAGATCATCTGTGGAAAAAAAATATTTAAAATTAGAAAAATGCTATGTGATTATGCGAATGGATTTCCTTTATAAATTAACCAAGGAGATGTGGAAACTTCAACATCTTTGAGATCAGAAGTCTTTGTATAATAATGATCAATGTGAATATGACTAAGAAAAATTTGAATTTTTAATGTAAATTTCATAATTTTCTGGTAGGAATCTGTTCATTTACTCTGGATGAGGAGGTAATTTGACCATTTTTCAGCAGAAAATTGATTTAAATTTCATTCAAAAGTATGGTGAATAAACACCGTGATTTATTTTAAAATCAAAGAACGTCAAGATCTGCCTATGTACTTCGAATAGTAATTTTTTACATTTTCTTCATATAGAAACTTCAAATCTAAATGTAATAAAAGTGTAAAGAGTGAGAATGAAGACTCTAAAATGGAAAATTGTTTTTCGTCCCTTTCTGTTTTCAATTAATTTTCTAATATGCATGAATAATTGTGTATACATAATCAATTGATAACAGTTGGTAAATACAAATATTCCCCTATTTACAATTCAAAGATAAAAAAGAATCGTACCGATTTTGAGTGGTTTAAATAGCTCTTATTGAATGCAATTCTAAAAAGATACTCATTATCAAAATACAAATATGACGTCATCAAGCTAAATTGAATTTGTTTGTATACCATCCCGTGTGCAAATAAAATGACCAACAGTCACTCAGTTGTATGTAGCTGTATGTAGTGATACACTACTGAAACTGGTTAAGTTGATTGAAATTATGCAATGCATTTGTATGGAGACAATCACGTTTAGTTATTCTTTCAGTCAGTCGACCAATTTGGGACATTTGGCTAAGATTGATTAAAGTTAACTGCAGTTGCTCATTTTGTTCGAGACAATCACTTCTAGTCAATCAAATAGTCACTGAATGTCCCAAATTAATCAACTGACTTGGACAGTCAAAAAAAATTCCACACGGGATACAAATACGCAGTAATCGCAATGTATTCTAACTATAACATACAGGCTCACTGCTTGTATTGCCATTGGAGCCATTTTAGTTTAAAATCATTGGCAATGTCGAATGAATGTAGTTAGTTTGTTACGATCCGTTAAGCATTGAGCACCTACTATCAAGCGGAAACGAAACGTAAGAAATTATTTGATTCATCATAACTACCTATATTGGGAATGTGAACAAAATACGACACACTAGTTTATTATATAAGCGAATTATTAACAATTCAAGGTCAAAGCTTCCATATTGATTATTATGAAATATTATAATACATTAAATTGTTTCCTTTTGGTATCAGTTTTTTGTTCTAAAAGGGGAAAAAACACAGCGTTTATGAAGAAAATTATTGCGTTTCAATGAGGGAATGTGTTGCGTTTGCGGAAATTGAAAATCTATTAATTGCTGTATCTTCTCAGAATTTCAGATAACAATGTTTGGCGAATTGATTTTGTTCGCGGCAATATCTTTGATATTTTACGCGTTTTACAAGTGGGCTACAGCCAACAATGACTACTTCGAACGTCGTAATATAAAATACATAAAGCCCAAGTTCTTGATCGGAAGCAATGTCGGATTATACCTTGGCAAGTACACTGCAGCTGAATTTTCAGACAAATTATTCCACGCATTTCCAAATGAGGCGTAAGTTTTTTTTCTTCTTTGAAGCAACAGACAAAAGTAATTAGACATGAAATATGATTGAACTTTGCAGAATTTATGGATTATTTGACTTCCGTGCCCCACAATTCATTGTTCGCGATTCGAAATTATATAAACACATTTTCATAAAAAGTTTCGATAATTTTGAAGATCATAATACATTTGTCGATGAAAAAACGGACAAACTATGGGGCAACGCATTGTTTCTCATGAAAGGCGAGAAATGGCGTCAAATGAGAGCCACGCTAAGTCCAGCATTTACCGGAAGTAAAATGCGACAAATGTTTGAATTGGTTACCGAATGCACTGATGAAGTGGTGAAACACTTTTTGAACAAGGTTCAAAAGGGTGAGAAAGTGAACATCGAAATGAAGGATTTCTTTACGCGATACACAAACGATGTCATTGCAACTTGTGCCTTTGGACTTAAAATTAACTCATTTGAAGATCCGACGAATGAATTCTATGAAAACGGGAAAATCTTGATGGATTTCACTTCAATCCAAACGGTGGCGTGCAAAGTACGACGCGAACGACGCAATTGCGTCGGGCGGCACTTGCCGTGGGGCGGCAAAATTGCGAGCGAAGCGAGCAAAAATATTGTATTTTAGTAATAAAGGTAATTTTTGGGGCGGCATTTTGGGCATCTGCGTCGGGCGGCACAGCATCTGCGTCGGGCGGCACATTTGCTTTGCACGCCACCGAATCCAAACGTTACTTAGGTTCTTCATCATAGACAAATTTCCAGCTATTGCACGAGCTTTCAACATTTCTTTCTCGAATGGCCGCGTTGGAAATTCTTTCAAGAATACAATTTTGGAAACGATGGATATTCGCAAGAAGAACAACATCCATCGTCCGGATATGATAAATATTTTGATGCAAATTCGTGAAGGAACACTAAAGAATCAAACAGACGATAGAGATAAAATCGACAAGGAAGGATTTGCAACCGTTGAAGAGTCCGAAGTGGGTAAGGTGACTGTGAATCGTGCCTGGAGCGATGATGAAATCGTTGCCCAATGCTTTGTTTTCTTCGCTGCTGGATTCGATACATCAGCGACGTTATTGACATTTTCTGCTTACGAAATTGCGGTTAATCCAGATGTTCAACAAAAACTGTACGAAGAAATAATTGAAACCAACCAACAACTCGGAGGAAAACGCATCACCTACGATGCTCTACAGAAAATGAAGTATTTGGATCAAGTGATTTGCGAAACACTTCGAAAATGGCCACCAGCAACTGTGAATGATCGTACTTGCACGAAGGATTACGTTTATGACGATGGCGAAAAAATAAAATTCAAAGTGGAGAAAGGTGCAATCCTCTTCTTTCCCACCTTTTCCATACATCGTGACCCAAAAAATTTCAACGAGCCCGAAAGGTTCGCCTATGAATATTTGTCAATGCGTGTCAATGAAGTAAATATTTCAATAGTTCTTTCCCCCTAGGTTCGACCCAGAACGATTTTCCGATGAGAACAAGCATACTATTAATCCAGAAACATACCTACCATTCGGAATCGGCCCGCGTAACTGTATCGGTGAGCTAATTTCGAACTATTGCAACTTGGAAGCTTTGATCATAAATACATATTTTCAGGTTCTCGTTTTGCTTTGATGGAAATTAAAGCGATTCTATACAATTTGCTGTTGAATTTCTCATTTGAACCAAATGAAAAAACACATATCCCAATGAAACTGAAGAAAACAGCATTCACTCTAGACGGAGAGAACGGAGTGCATTTGGAACTTAAACCACGAAAAAGTTTAATGTTCGAAGTAACATCGCTAACATGATTCAGCAACAAAACCATATCTATGGGTGAGATTGAGAGTGGAGTATGTTTTTTCTTCGATTTATATTTTTGAAAAGGCGAGTATGTTTTCTGATGATTCTGTTGGCGTTAAAGTAGAGTATGTCGTAGTACCGTCTAGCCTCTGCGGTCTTCACGGTTTTCGCGCAACTGATAGGAGATAACAACATGGTGTCTTCGGCAAAGTTGTAGCACTCAAGGTCTTCTATAACATTGCTGAAGGCATCTATCTCTTATCTCTTATCAGTTGCGCGCAAATCGCGCACATAAAAAAGCAAATTTTATATAGAACTTTTTTTTTCTTATCATCTTTCGCGCTTTTCGCGGAACTGATAAGAGATAAGAGATAAGAGATAACCGACTTCAGCAATGTTATAGAAGACCTCGAGTGCTACAACTCATATTATACTTATCAGTTCCACGGAAACCGCAAAAAACCGTGACGACCCGCCAGAAATGAACATACTCGCCTTTAACCATTTTTGAGTCGAAAGAAACTTACTCTTCTCTTTCATAACAAAGTCAGTGAAACATACACCACTCTCAATCTCACCTATAGATATATTATGCAGAAAATTCGCTACATTTGCAATGATTATGAAATTATTTCAATAAAATAACGAGCCAAACAATAAACAGAAATATCTGAAAAGATACACGGTTATATTTGATTAGACACATATATTTTCCCCTAAATATTCTACAAAATCTAAAATCAAATGTGTTTGTTCTGACCAAATGATATCACATTGCTTAACTAAATGAAAAAAAAAATCAAATAGATTTGATCTAATGGTATTTTTTCAATTGCAAAAGTAAGTGTTCACTGATTGAGAATAAACCTAGGGGCATATGACTCTCGCGAAGCAAAGAACCATAAAACGAATGAAAAATAAACAGATACAATGGGAAAAAAATCGAGCATTTGTGAGATTTGAACCCATGGTCTCTTCTTTTTCGTTCCGCAGCTCATCCACTAATGGTTCAGTACGACACACTCATTCTGTGGGATGCTACTGTTTCAATTAAATTGTCCGATGAAAATGAATGTCCGATTTTTTTTCATTGAATCTTTTTAGTTTTTAATTGTTTCATGACTATTGGTTTCAAAACTGATTTTTTTCAGCATTCGGATTCTTTTCTGTAATTTGTATTGTATTGTATTTATGCCGTCGGCAAGGTTACATGAGCTATTTTCACCAGTTGCACAACGAAAAAACTCAGCAACGTATTGCCGACGGAAAAAATATAACAACATTTACAGAAGAAAAAAACGAATGACAAAAGAAAATCTGTTTTGAAGCATTAAACCATTAAACAAATGGAAACTAAAAAGATTAAATGAAAAAAATCATCAATTGTTTAATGATTATTTGTTTCAAAACTGATTTTTTTTCAACATTCGGTTTTTTCAGTAATTTCAAATATCACTGAATACTATTCACCACGTTTTTGGTGAATTAGCGTAAAAGCATATAACAGTTTGTTAGTTCAGAATATTTTCGCTAGGTTCGCTCCAGAAATATTTTGTATATTAAGAAACAATGCATTTTCGCTTCAAGCTATCGCCTTCCGTTCAAACCCTTTTTTTGTTCAAACAACATTAACATGATTCAAAATAAAGTACGAAAATAAACGAAAAAAAAGTGTTTTATTTGGGATCCAAAAGCCGTTCAGGTAGTCCAGGATATGCCAAAACCGATTAGACAGGTAAGGTATTAAAAACATATACCTGTATGGTATACAAATTAGTGTATATTTACATAGAAATACATGAGCGTGCACTAATGAAAATACGATTTTTGGTCGAAAATAGTATTCTTTTTCGTATCTGTACCAGCATAGAAAATTTGTGCTGGATTTAGACGATTAAAACATAGCAGAAGATGTTCACTTTTTGGTGAAAAATGAACAACTTTTTAAACATTTTTCTCTGGTGATTATTGTTGTTATTATCCAAGATTATTGTTGGTATTTTCGAACGGCCGGTTCATATTTATGATCAACAAAATAGTTTGCATTTAATTATATTTTTCTGCATTCCATTTTCAGTTTCATATCAACTGTGGCCGCAATCACACCAAGCTCATTTTTCTTGCATCAGCATTCTCAACAGGCTGAACCAAACAAACAAATTGTGATAAAAAAATACAATAGATTTTTTTCGTTTGAATCAAAATCGGTAATACAAAAAAAAGATAAATTGAAAGTGATGCAAAATCTCGTCTACTGTCAAAAATGATTAGATTCGTGTTGAGAAAGTTCTATCGAAACAAGGATTGCGACCAAAAAGCGAAGCCATCAAAATCTGAGACCATCAATGAATCAAATGCAATGACAAAAAAACTAACGGGCCTGAATGATGATTGTCTTGAGAGCATTTTCTTGTATTTGAGCCTCGCCGATCTCGTTACTATTGTCGATACAAACAAGCATCTGAGGACAGCCGCTGAATTAGCATTTGCCAGGAATTTCGGGCGGGGAACATTTGTAAAATGGAACGGGCACTACTATTGGCACGTCCTAATTATGATCAATGATACGGAAACCGTATCGTTACCAAAACTGTATCTCTTGCTTCGCTATTTTGGACATTTAATTTCGAAGCAAGAGATAGATGTTCAACATAAATTATTCGCTTACAAACTGCTAAAGTATGTGAACAAATATTGTAGCGAATCAACAACTGAAATTGTAATCCGACGAAGAACTATTTCTTATGTGAATAAACCATATCCAAATGCTGAAACAGTTAGCCTTCAATATTGTTATTTGGACAAGAATCATACAAGATTTCGTAAAGCTGTTCGATTGAATTAATTATTCCCAAACGTACGTAATTTGTCGATTCATACGAGTAGACTTAAACGCAAGTGTTTACATTTTCCTCAATTGAATCAACTGAAATATGATCCTGAAGCAAGAGGATTTTATGATCATGGTGGTGATGTAGATGACTACCATAATGCTATTTGTGTAGAAATGCTGCACTTGAATCCACAGCTTCGGAGTTTAACTTTAGGAAGACTTAACACCAAAACACTCCTTGCCAGTCAGCAACTTCAGTTCCTTGAACGTTTGGAAATTTCTCACATTGAACTTGGAAAATATAATGAGATTGACGAAATCAATTTTCCGCGTCTGACAGAACTAAAAGTCACACATATTTCAGGATCAGAAAAGATACCAATTCCAGCGGGCAATTTGAGAATGTTTGAATTCAGCAATTGGGGTAATTTCGATAATTTCAATGTGGATGTTTTATTGGATTTCTTACATAATCATCCAACTATAACTAAATACAAGTTGACAAATAAGAACGAAAAGTGGGAAATAACAAATAACGATTACCCATCGATATTATCGAAGCACTGCCATTGTTGGAAGAAATGGATATTTCTTTGCTAAAAATTTCGGTGAACGATGCGATTCGATTAGTGAAAAACTACAAATCGTTCAAACTATGCTTCAAAACGGATTACAATGTCGCTTTAAGACGTCTGGTGGCAAAAGTAGGCCTGAAATGTCATTTAGTGTGTGTGAAAGTCCATGAAGTGACAAAACATAGGCACAAATTGTACTCAAGGTGTGAATAAATGGGGCAACATTGTTGACAGCGCCACGCCAAAGCGGTTGCCCGGCCAACTACAGTCAGTCGTAACGCAAAGTGGCACAAGCATGTCCCATTTTCTGTATACACTCGTTGCGTTCATACGCGTGTGTATGCGAAAAATGGTACAAGCTTGTGCCACTTTGCGTTGCGATTGACGTATGCTTCTGATTGAAAATAACCAGATTAAAGTTAACTAGAACCAAATGAAAAGTAGATCAAAAAAAAAATAGAGAACATATTTCCTGAAAGAGTACCTTTTCCATTTATATTTGGCAAAATTTAAAAAAAATCATAGAGTTGGTTTCGCTGCAATAAGACTTTGAAATGGATTGTTCACAATTAATTTCTACTCTCATTCTGACTAAACAACAAAGCCTTGTTGCAGCAAAACAAAGACTATGATTTCTCTAGAACTTGGTTGAATATAAGTAGAAATTATACTTTATTAAAAAATATATCTCTCAAATTATTTGGAATAAATTTTCATTTGGTTTTAGTTCATTTTAATTGGGTTTTTTTTTTCGAACACAAGCAGACGTCAATGCGCTGCAGTAGTAACCAAGTGACAACCAACGTGAAGTTGGCTGCGTTGCCCGGTATCCATTATGTTCACCCTTTGATTGTACTGTATATACAACTGATGACAATTGCCATTTTACGCACTGAATTTAGACACACAGTTTCTGGTACATTTTCTGTACTTGCCATTTCTATCCGACAGCAAAATAAAACGACAAACGATGCAAAATGAGCATTTCTCAACAACTTTTCTACATTTTTCTTATCTGTATTCCGACGTCATAGTCCATTTCAGCATTTCTGTATCAAGTTGGTGAAATTCGGATTCTGATCATGCTTTAGATAACAAAAGAAAAGTTTAGTCATTTTTGCTTGGTGATGATAATAATAATAATTTGTTAAAATTCATTAATAAATTTCATTCAATTTTGAAAACAACACTCTCTTTTTTCGCTATTCAAAGATTTCGCGCTTGCAGCTGCGACCTTGAAAAAACCGGCATGGACAGAATCTGCATAACTATACTACTGAGCGTTGCGAATGCTTGCTTTAAAATACGAATAAAGTCATTTTTTTCCGAAACGTAGAACGTTTTCGAATACTCATTAGCCCCTAGGAATAAACCAGCACAAATGCTGTTTCACGTGCTAATGATCATGTCAAGTGGACGATGATGGACATTTACTTTGTTTTTCATTCATTCACATTGAAATTGATGAGGTTCACAGGGCGTTGTTGTTTGTGTGTTTGCCTAGGATCAAAGTGAATTCATTTGAAGAGCCAAACAATGAATTTTACAAA